CAGCCAACAATTCTGGAATTTTCCCTAAAGAAATAAAATAAGTTTTTAAAAAAATTCACATATTAGCATCCCATTCTTGAACTGCATTGAAATGCAATTCAAATTCATACTTTTTCTTTAATACCCATAAATGTGTTAAGTTAGGGAAGCCTTACTATTATGTTTTGACTGTAAATAAACCAACTAAAGGATTTAAAAGCTAAAAACAGGACAGTCTTTTCTGCATTGTATGAGAAACAATGAGCCTTCTTTTGTGAATGGCTATTCTTTGGCAGGCATAAAAAATGTTTTTTCATGAAAACGATCTATACTAATACAAGGGTAATAAGGTAATTAGACCAAATATCTTCCAGATGACCATGTGGACGTTCTTTGGGACAAAACCATGGTGGCGGGGCCGAGGCAGGGGCGGTTAGTGATCATCAGGCAAGCAGAGGACAGCAGTTAGGTAATCAGGACAGAAGGGGAGAACAGTTAGTGGGCTCTGGATGGCAGGGGAGAGAAGATAGGGGGATTAGGCCAGGAGGGGAGAGCAGTTATGGGGATCAGGCCAGCAGGGCACAGCAGTTATGGGGATCAGGCCATCAGGGGAGTTCAGTTAGTTGAATCCAGCCAGCAGGAGAGAGCATTTAGGGGGATCAGGCCAGCAGGGCAGAGCAGTTAGGGAGATGAGGCGGCTGGGAACAGTAGTTAGGGCGATCAGGCCAGCAGGCAGGTGAGCAGTTAGGAGCCAGCAGTCCCAGATTGCAGGAAGGATGTCCGAATGCTGCAGGGATCTGGCCTAAAACAGCAGTCGGATATCCCCTGAGGGGTCCTGGATTGAAGACGGTACAGGCCAGGCTTAGGGACCCTACCCCACGCACCTATTTCGTACACCAGGCTTCTAGTTCTTAAATAAGTCACTTCTTCAAAGCCTCCAAGTGGAAGCTGCTCTCATAGAAAATATTTTAACACATATCCGAAGGCTAAGACAGTTACTCCTCTGAAACACCAGTTCCCTTGTGACTGCGGCATGGCCATGAAGAATGCCTTGGATGGGAGACAGGTGTTGGGTAGGTGCCTTGATTCAGACCTAGACAAGGTTAGAGAGAGTGGTGGTGGAGAAACAGATGAGATGGAGTCATCCCTGACAGCTTGGACATGACATTTGCCTAAATACGTATGGCCACAGCAGTTTGTGTCACAAGTATGAGAATATTAGAGACCTGATGCATCAAATTTGTGCCAAGGGCTCAGCCTCTGCCACCACGGCTTCATCCTGAAGGTCGTCTAGAAGGTGTCCAGTCTAATTACCATATTATGCTTTTATTATTATAGACTAGAGGTCCAGTGCATGAAATTTGTGGACTCGGGGGGGTGGGGCTCAGCTTGGCCTGCACCCTCTCGTAGTCTTGGAGCCCTTGGCTTATGTCTGACTTTTAGCTTAGGGAACACTGACCTTCGGTGGGGAATGGGCCTAAGTCATCCGTCAGACATCCCTAGCACTGCTAGGAGGCAGGAGATGATCCCGCTATCACTGCTGTGCTCACCAGCTGTGAGTTCGGCTTCTGGCTGAGTGGCATTCCCCCTGTTGGTGTTCACTGACCACCAAAGGGAAGCTCCAGGGTTGAGCAGGCTCCAGCCTAAACTGGCTCTCCGACATTCTCTGAGTGGTCCCAGATTGTGAGAGGGTGTAGGCCAAGACAAGGGACCCCACTGGTACATGGCCATGGCCAGGAGTGATGAGGGAGTTTGGCCAGACAGAAAGGGACCGTGGGAGAGTGCCAGGACATGTCCGGCCCATCTCGCTCAGTCACGATTGGCCAGACCCCAGCAGCAAGCTAACCTACTGGCCGGAGTGTCTATCCCCTGGTGGTCAGTGCACATCATAACAACTGGTTGACCGGACGACTGTCTGCCCCCTAGTGAACAGTGCAAGTCATAGCGAGCGTTTGAGTTGCCATAGCATATCATTAGTATATTGCCCACGGATTGGTTGTACAGACAACCGACCAGATAATCTGACACTTAGAATATTAGGCTTTTATTTTATAGGATTCTTTTCCATAATCTGGGCCAGGATGGATTTTCCTCAAAGCTTTATCTTTTTTATCCTACATTCAATGTTACTTTTATTTTTAAAATGTGGTTTTGTGAATTTATGGGGAAAATATTTAGCTGCTTCAGTGAAAGCATGTTGAAGTTCCCACTTTGAGGAATTTCCACATGTAAAAGCTGTCTGGCACTGGGCACTGGCAGAGTTTACCACCAGCACGAGGGTGAGGGCAGAGGAAAAGGGCAGGGAATCATCTGCAGGCTGGGAAAGTGGAAGGAGGAAAGGAACGGCCAGTGTGTAATGAATGCCTACATTCATTTCCTGGGTTGAAGCTAAGAATTCCTGTTTAAGACCAAAAAAGGTAAAATAAACCCAAAACACATGAATAAGTCCTACTACATACAGAAATGGTTTTCTAAATTCCTTAAAAGCAGTAGAAATTGTCCTAAAAGACATAAATTTCATTGTAACAAAAACATTCTAACCCTTACACTTTTTGCATTATGGTAAAAAACACATAACACTAAATTTACCACCTTAATCATTTTAAGTGTACAGTTCAGTAGTTTGGTGTCACATAAAATTTACCAATTCTTTTCTGACCTTTGGCTAACATTTTCATAAATAAGTATACACTGGTTGTTCTTGGAAGTGAATTATGGAATTCACTCTTGCTTTAGTAAACAGCCAGAGGTAATCTTTGCCTGTGAAGATTATCAAATGAAATCAAATCCTTAAAGGGGATACTGCCATCTGTTTAAATTCTGTATCTTTTTTCTGAATGTTTATAAAAATAAAAACTGACATCTGTGACTTGATTGTGCTGGAAAATGTCTGCACTGTTTCTTGAGTTTTAGCATGTGAATGTAAAGTACTCACAGGGAGGAACTCATAGGTTTTCTCTCCATATAACCTATTAGCTAGTTTCAGAATATAGGGAGCTCCACGCTTGTTGATATCAGCATTCAGGCTCTGAAAACTTGAATGAATCTCCTTAATGGCATCGAAGTGAAGAGTCTAAAATAGAGAAAACATTCCTTCTATAGCCATTTATTTTGAAACGGATTCCTTGACATTTGCTTCTATCAAATAAATTAATGCTTTTATTACTAATTATCAATAATTCCCAGCCCAATAATTTATTAAACGTTCATTGGAGAACAAAAGAATAGAGAATCTAAAATTTATAGCTTTTTGAGACATAATTACATCAGAAGCTATTTTTATATCATTTTTTTATAATTATAGTCCCATGAATGTAAGTGGTTAATAGGTTAAATATTTATCTAAGTCTGCTTTTTCTCCACAGAAAATCATAACTGGTATCTTCATATATAAATTTTGTATCAAATAGAGTTTTACTGAAAGTTCTCAGAAATAAACAGTAAAATTAAGAATCATCCCCTATGTGGGAGCACAAAGATATTACAGAATTGAGGGGATTTTTAAACTACACTATCAGCATCAGTAACTTAAAAATAACATCTATAAACTTAACATTCAGCAAAAGTTTAATTTTCATGTTTCAAATCAAGAATCCCTTTATGGTCTTATAAGTCCTGGGCTGAATCCTATTTCAAAACACAAAGAATAAACCTACACAATGTAGAAAGACCAGTTACACACCAACATACAGAATGTTTGCACAGTTGCTATGACAGATCTGCTTTAATAGAAAAGCAGGGAACCCTTAAAATGACTTTTTGCTGAGGTAATATAGTCCCCTGATGAACCTCAAAATAGAAGCTGATTTTACCATGCAGGAAGCAACTAACTATTATTACCAGGGCATAAAATTAAAAGTGGGTTTTTGAAATATAAAAATGCTTTCATGTCTGGAGCTGTAAAGACCATTGGCTTTTCATAAAATTCAATATAATAAAGAGGTAGTATGCAAATTGCCCATCATGCTCTCGCACAAGATGGCCACCCCCATGTGGTCACCAGATGGCCACACCCAAGTAGTCACAAGATTGCTATGCCCATGTTGTCACAAGATGGCCTACAAGGGAGGGTAGTTGGGGGCATACTGGCCAGCAAGGGAGAGAAGTTGGGAATGACATGAGTGGCAGGGGAGGGGAGTTAGGGGCGACCAGGTCGGCAGTGGAGGGCAGTTGGGGGGAGACCAGGCCTGAACAGGAGGGCAGTTGGGGGCAATTGAGCCCACAGGGGAGTGCAGTGGGGGCAATCAGGCTGGCTGGGAAGCAGTTAGGAATTGATCAGTCTGGCAGGCGGGAGCTGTTAGAGGAAATCAGGCAGGAAGGAAGGCTAGCAGTTGGGAGGCAGCAGTCTCCGATGGTGAAAGGGATTGTCCCTGTTTGATTGGGCTTAAACTGGGATTTGGACATTCCCTGAGGGGTCCCTGATTGGAGAGGATGCAGGCTGGACTGAGGGACAAACCCCACCCCCGAACCCCCAGTGCACGAGTTTTGTGCACCGGGCTCTAGTGTGCAAATAAACTATTTGCAGCTAGAACAGATGGATAAACTTGAGTCCAAAGCAGGACCTTCCCCAGTAACTGGCACCTTATAATCTTTCCCCTAATTCAAGGAGAGCGGGAGTTCCCCTCTCAGAATTCAACAAAGACCACACAGCACTGTGGTGCACCGCACACCCATGAAGGCCAGGTGGAAGGCCAGGCATTACTGCTTCTTCTTCCTGTAACAGGAACCTGCCATACCACCTAGGGCTTGGCCATGTCCCTGCAGCCACCACACCTCACTTCTTTCCTCTTTTTTTTTAAAAATATATTTTATTGATTTTTTACAGAAAGGAAGGGAGAGGGTTAGAGAGTTAGAAACATCAATGAGCGAGAAACATCGATCAGCTCCGCCAACTTCCATTCCCTGTGTTATTTTGTGCTGAAAGGTAACATTACATAGCAGGCATCTATTAATGAGTAGCGGGTTATATGCAAAGCAAAAACTGAAAAATCTGAAGTGAGAGGAGATGCCTTCAGAGATTTGCAGACGGCAAGAGAATTAGGGCTTTCATAGCTTTCTTCACCACAGTATCCTCAGCCAAACAAAAAACAGTGCCTGGCAGATAGTATGTGCTCAGCAAAAACTCAATCATGAGTGAAAGCCTGCATATAAATGAACTCTTTTTGGGGCTTTTCTGAAAGTCTGACCTCATCGTGTGTAGTTGTGGAACACACAAGCACAGTGTTTAAAACACCGTGTAAGAGCTCAAAGACAGCTTTTTATGAGGGACTTGCAGGGAACCCAGACTCCTTTTGTTAGTTTCTGCTGACCTTGGACATCTGTGCCTCGGTAGTGCCTCTGGCCCCCAGAAAGACCATGGCCAGCGCTGAGGAAATGCTCATGGGGGAGATGAAGATGTTCCCAGAGGGGTTGTTGTCCTTCAGGGTGCGGAAGAGGTCCACTGCGAACCGGGTGTTGGCCAAGCTCAGCTGCTCCATGGTGAGGCTACAACACAGGACAGAGGCCTAGCACACCAGCAAATATGGCAATGACATTTCTCCATGGCTCCCTTGCCCTGAAACACCCGGAAATTTGTACTTCCTTTTCTTTTCTCAGGAGGACAAGAGCACACAGATAGGAACTGGACAAGGATCCATCAGCGACTCTGGGCAAGGAACCAGGGAGCTGAGAGGGCTCTGACATGCAGATTCAGCAGCCAACACTGGGCCTTTCCTACTCAGTTGGGGAGCACACACATTTCCCACCCTTTACCTGAAATGATAATTTTCTATTAGAAAATCATAGCT